TTTTTTTGCAAAAGTTTCATACTGCAGCTAAGGGTTTCTTAACTGCTAATTTAGTAACTACACTAGCTAACTCTCTTGGTATCTTCTCTTATTATAAATCCTGTTTTGAAGCCAAGCTATAGCTAGCATAAGAAATTGTGTGGCACACTACCTCCAACCTTCAGTTTTCATGTAAATAAAATTGAAGGTTTTATTTACATAAGGTTGCTTAAGCAAAACATTGTTTGCATAAGCAATTTGATCTGTTTGGAGACAATGGAAAATGGCTTTGGTCCCTGCTGGAGTAGTAGTCACCTGAAGACCTCAGGGACAAACTTATCTGGATTTACCTTAACTTAACTAAGTTAACTAAGGCCCACTTCAAACATAATGAAGTGTCACTTTAAAAACATCTTAACAGGGTTGGATAAGAAGGTTAAACAAGGATGTACCACAGTTTGACTTGTCTTATTGATCCTTTTTTTGCAGGACTTGTGCCGAAACCCAAAATTCATCTCTGAAGATGCTACAAGGACTGATATTTGTCAGGGAGCACTTGGTGAGAAGCACAAACACACACCAATTTGATTTTTTAAAATAACTTGAGCTACACATGTCAATTCTCTTTGAAATTAATCACATTCAAAAGTTATTCACAGGAAAATTAGACTATCAAAATTTTAAATGCAAGATCTTTCTATCTTGAGCTCTTAAGATGTGTATGCATGCTTATCTAGCTTTTCAACAGAAACACATTCACCCTGACACAGACTCTGTGAATACTGATACTGTTAAAGCCGGCATCATGGCTCGATAGCTTCCTGCTTCTTTTCTGTGTGCAGGAAAAACACCTGAAGCAAAAACTCTTTTAAATATTTGTGTGCTGACATCAGCTGTCACTGATCACAGCATCTCCATCTTGTTTCTGCGCCTTCGCCCAGTCTACCAGAAATCTTCCACAAGCTGTGTTACTGAGTTACACTGAAAGATGAGGCTGAGATTTTTTTTTTTTTTTTGTGGAACCAATCACCACAGAAACCATCTGAAAATATGTGGATGGTAGATTAGCTTTTAACAGTGCAGTTTTTCTTCTTAATTTAATTTGATTAACTTATGTTATAGTTTGTGTATTTGTCTTGTGTCCTATTAGTAATTTGAGCAAATTAAGTGTGCACCTCCACACTACTGTCTGTCTTCACTTCATCCTGTAATATGTTTTCTACCTGTATTTTCTGTTCCGTCTATTTTGCGTACGAGTCATCTCTAAATTAAAAGAACATTAGGCCTAGCAGCACAGATCTGTTTGATGGAAATGACCAACATGATCTCTACGTTTTTTGGAAATATGTTGCAGTGAATTATTCCATGTGCTGCATTAGGCCTTCACTGGTGATTTTCTTTCCCAGGTGACTGCTGGCTCCTGGCGGCTATAGCCTCCCTAACTCTCAACAAGCAGGTTTTGTCCCGCGTTGTGCCCCATGACCAAAGCTTTACTGAAAACTATGCTGGAATTTTCCACTTCCAGGTACAACACTGCCTCAGTTAGAGTCTTGATTGGGTTTAAGAGACAAAAAAGTTAGATTTGACTGGTAGGATCATCTTTTCTTGCTCTCAGTTCTGGCAGTTTGGAGACTGGATAGATGTGGTTGTTGATGATCGCCTGCCCACCAGAGACGGGGAACTCCTGTTTGTTCACTCAGCGGAGGGCTCTGAGTTTTGGAGCGCCTTGCTGGAGAAAGCCTACGCTAAGTATGGATGACTATGAATATTTGACTGTTGGAGCTTTTCATAGGTGTGGTCCTTACCTAAGCTATTTTGCTTTTAGAATAAATGGATGCTACGAGGCTCTCTCTGGAGGCAGCACCATTGAGGGCTTTGAAGACTTCACGGGGGGCATCGCAGAGCGACATGAACTGGCGAGCCCAGATCCACATCTCTTCAAAATAATCCAAAAGGCCTTGAAAAGAGGCTCTCTTTTGGGATGCTCCATTGATGTTCGTCTGAGTTCTTCTATCACTACTGTGGTTGCTATCTTTGAGGTATTTGTTTCACATTATCTCTTTTTTGTGTGTTGCAGATCACCAGTGCAGCTGATTCTGAGGCGATCACACATCGCAAGCTGGTGAAGGGGCATGCTTACTCTGTCACAGGAGCCGACCAGGTGAGACTCCAGGAGTTATTTGGTCAAAACGTGTCCTCCTACTGGAAGCAGAGTTGTTTGATTTTCTGATCTGCATTAGGTTGAGTATCAAGGAGACATGGTGCAGCTGATCAGGATCAGAAACCCGTGGGGTCAAGTGGAGTGGACGGGTGCATGGAGTGACAAGTAAGAGCCAGCATGTTCTCTGAGAAGTTTTCTAATCGGAGTATTCTGGTCCGCACAAACATCCGAGGTGCAAGGATGATGTAGCTTCACAACTTTACTGATCCTCTGAATCTTGCATGAGGAGAATAAATGTTTACATTTGATTTTCTCTCCTCACTCCGTAGAATAGCACAAAAAACTTTTACCAAAGAATGTAACTTTTAAAAAATTGGAATGTTTGTATAAAGCAAACTTATTTACATAATTCTAATTTGCACAATTTTATGGCTAATAGAAACGCAGCTAATAATATTGTTTCCCATCTGTAGTTGAGCCTACTTCGTGTTGTCAGACAGGTTCCATTAAAGCAATGTCTCTATTCTACATGTTGAGGAGTTGTCAGGCCTGGATGTGGCTAGTGAAATGGAACCAAAGAAATCAAATTAATCACCGCTGAATCACATTTTAACAAAAGAACACATCTAGTGCTTTCCACTTCAGGTTTTCCCTATCTAACATTAGAAAGAGGACTGTACACTAACTTTGCCACTTTTGAAGGATAACTAGAGCAGTAGACAAGCATGCAGCAAATTTAGAATTGACTACAACCTTAATACACATAGTATTCTCCAAGATGATGCCACAATCCAATGGAAGAACATATAGGGTGAAGACGAATAATGTCTATGTGATGCCTCTATGTACAACAACCCCAACTCCAAATCCAGTTCGAAACATATTTGTCAAATTTTTTTGTTAAATTTCTTAAACTGCTTCTTCTAAATCACTTCCTTTCTCCTTCTACTCCCAAACTGCCCAAATATGACACATGCTTGTGTGAAGGTTATAACACACATAGACGAACACACCCTTCGGAAAGGGTGGAAAATCTTGAACAACAACCGTGTCAATGTGTTTTGTGGTTGCTATGTAGGTGTGGAGCCATCCCCACCACTTAGCACAAGTCTCACTCTTTATGTTTCTTTGTTCCAGCTCTTCTGAATGGAGATCTGTGAGCAGTGAAGATCAGGAGCGACTGACCAACCGATCTGAGGATGGAGAATTCTGGTAACTCTAAAAAAAATTTGATTTTTTTTTTCTTTTCATGGAGGAAACCATTTTCACTTTTTTTTTTTTTTGCGTTTTTTCCACCTTTGCTTCCACAGGATGTCCTTTTCCGACTTCCTCCGTGAGTATTCCCGGCTTGAGATCTGCAACCTTACCCCTGACTCTCTGACAGATGATGAATCCCAGAAATGGGCGGAGACAGAGTTTGAGGAGACATGGAGGAGTGGTGTGTCAGCTGGCGGCTGCAGGAACTATCCAGGTAGGCCCAGTTTGACAGCGGCACATTTACTGATACTGCTTGTAACAGTGTGCGCGCTAATTACTCCGACTGCTGCAGTCTTGAACTCAGTTGATGAATGTAGAGATGAGAGGCTTACAATGAAAAAATACAGTAAAAAACTGGATTTTCAGCAACATAAAAAAGTTATGGAATTGATAAAATTATGGCAGCAGCAGCAGCAGCAGCTTGTTTCTGCTGCTTTGTCCAGTCACCATAATTTTAGTGGAACTTTTAGGGCTGCAAACAGCTGTGGTATAAGTTATTTTATTAAAATAAATGTATCTTGGTATGCTTTTTAACCACTGATTACATTTAATTAAATATGTAATTAAATTAAATGTTGGATTTTTTTAGAGCAATGTTATACTACTACAATATATTTTTTTCTTTAAGTACAAGTAAAGAATAAAATATACATATATTCTGAGATTATTTTGCTCATCTTTCCCAATAGAACAAATCAGTATGGAAATGCTGTGTTTGTTTTATACCACAACACAGGGTTGGCCACGTCAAACCTGCCCTTCAGTTGTTCCACTAACACTTGCTCCCCTTTGTAGACACCTTCTGGACAAATCCTCAGTTTGTGATAAAGCTGGACGAGGTGGACGACGACCCCGATGATGGTGAGGAGGACGGATGCACAGTCATTGTGGGCCTGATGCAGAAAAACAAGCGCTGTAGGAGGAAAATGGGAGAAGACATGGAGACTATTGGATTTGCAATTTATGACGTGAGGGGATAAAATAAAAAATGAAATCATTATTTGAGAATGTGTAGCATTTTATAAGAGTCTAACCTTGGATTTCCTTTCCTTTTTTATAGCTTCCAGAGGAGGTACATCACCCAGAGAGTCTACTGGCTGCACTGGGATATTTCAAATTCTAAAATACTTTTATTTCTTAAAGGATGTCAATTATCATTTTCAAAATGAAAGTGTGTTCAGGGATGTTTTTTCTTTTAGATATCTTAATTGAAGGACCAAAGCAGACAAATTTGTGAAAAAAGTAAAACAGCACAAAGCTGTCAAAAACACTCCATATGATGATTAGAAATACAAGAAAAATGTTGTGTAACAGTAAGATTTCTGGAGACCTAACAAGCCAGGACCCATGTACAAATGACCTGTTGTGACAAAAACAGTTTGAAAGACTAAAATTCATAGCATTCACATAGACATAAATTCTGGTCCACTTCAAACCAGCGTTGTTACTCTGATAGGTACAGGAGTGTGTCAACATGTTCCTCCCAGTAAAATGTGTCACCAGAAAATGCTGCTTTACATTAGCGGATCATGTGGGCTTTCTTACAAAAGTACACTATCTGGTTCTTTTTGCAGTACTCTGGCAAGACACAGGTGCACCTGAAGAAAAATTTCTTCCTGCACAACCGTGCAGCAGCACGCTCCGAGACCTTCATCAACCTGAGGGAGCTGTGCAACCGCTTCCGTCTCCCCCCTGGAGAGTATCTCATTGTTCCCTCCACCTTTGAGCCCAACAAAAACGGGGACTTCTACGTGCGGGTGTTCTCTGAGAAACAAGCAGATTTCCAGTATGCTACTAGTGCCACCAAAATATATAGTCATACATAAAATAATTTAGTTTCTGCAGTATTGATCTAATGTTTTGCTTCTTTCAGGGTGATTGATGATCCAGTAGAAAGTCATGTGGAGAAGGTATTGTTTTCAATATGCAGTTGCGGTGTGATGTTCATTTAATTTTGACACCAAATGAAAGCTTGTCTTTGTTATATTTAGATTGATATCGATGAAGATGAAATCAGTGACAGCTTCAAGAGGCTTTTTGGACAGCTTGCAGGAGAGGTCGGCATGCTAAACAGTTTTTTTTTTTACAGTCTCATACTCCCAAATATCTGCTTTCGAAATTAAAATAATAGTGTTTGTCTCATCGCTCAGGATGTGGAAATTTCTACATACGAGCTGCAAAGAATCCTCAACAGAGTGGTGATGAGGAGTAAGAGATTCCTGCTTCCTTAATCACCCAGATGTAACATTAACGATCTTTAGATTCAGGCACAATTCACATTTTCTTTTTGCATTTTTTCAGGAGAAGACATCAAAACCAGTGGGTTTAGTCTTGGAACTTGCCGCAATATGATTAACCTGCTGGATGTATCCTTTCTAAACAAAATCTCTGAAATGATCATTTTTCACAAATCACAGTTTATCAGAGGACGCTTGAGAAAAATGTGAATTCATCTTTAAAATAATGAAAGCATAAGCAGAACTGGTCTCTATAACAAGAAAATGACCCCCCCAAAAAATACCAGCAAATCCACAAAATACTGAGAATTGAGGAGCGGGAAATCATTGAGAAGTTTTTAATCTTGTGATCTTGGTCTAATATTCCTTAACAATTATGTAAAAGAAAGATGGAACTGGTAAGCTGGGCCTGGTAGAGTTTAAGATCCTGTGGACAAAGATTGAGAAATTTCTGGTTTGTTATTTATTTTTATCTCTATAACATATCTGCAATAGTAGTTAGCTGCTGATAGCAGACGGTAATTTCTTGTTTTTCCACTCAGGATCTGTTCAAATCAAGAGATGTAGATCAGAGTGGGTGCATGAGCTCCTCCGAGATGCGGGTGGCCGTCGAGGAGGCGGGTGAGAAACCTGTTTATTAAGTTATGTTTCCACTTGTGAGATTCAAGTAAGAGGATAAACAGTTGTGTGATTGGTCTGTTTCTACAGGTTTCTCTCTGAACAACTCTCTCCATCAGATCATTGTGGCTCGCTACAGTGAAACGAACCTCACCATTGACTTTGACAACTTTGTGGGCTGCCTGATTCGCTTGGAGACACTTTTCAGTGAGTTTTGATCCCCTTATGGAGATTTTGTTTCACTTGGTGCCTGGAAGCTAACATAGAAGTTATAATCTTTGTTACTTCACATCTCTACAGACACTTTTGAGGTGCTGGACAAAGATGGTTCTGGTACCATTGAGCTGAACTTCATGGAGGTTAGAGCCAGGATGTGTGTTCAATAAAAAGAAAATGGCTGGTTGGAAGGAAAAGCTGAAAAACTAACCTGCTAATGCTTTTATCCACAGTGGCTGAACGTGACGATGTTGTAACAGAGCTGCAAGCAAACGGAAGAATCAAGATGTTTTGTAGGACCTTATTTGGATTAAATAACTGCATAAACAAAATTGCTTAGAGTCATCAACTCTGAACCTTTGTTTGTTCTTCACTAACTGCAGAAAAAGGTTTCCTTATAAGTTAATCACTAGGGATTAAATTTGAGGGAACAATTATTGCTAATGCTTGCCAACACATTACAAAAGGGCAATCTGCAAACATCATGTATTTCTTTGGAAGACGAGGGATCTGCCTGGGCTGAAAAATATGGCACCTTTCATTTTTTTGTCTTTTTCTCTGAGCTTTCATGCAATAACATAAATGTGGTTTAACATGTCATAAAACAGAATGTAGTTACTGGCTTTCATGTAAAGAGTTGGATGAGAAAAATCTATATTTTCCTCTGGTGAGTGTGGTAAATATGAAGACCATGTCTGTAGTGCATTAGCTCAGCTCCCTTAGAAACTAAGGTTTGCTTTTAGATTATTTAAACTCTGAACTTTGATTGGCTGGTGTTTTTCTGTGTAATACAATATAAATAAAATAATTTGTCAGCTTTTAACTTTGTGTTTTTAGTTAAGAAACTATTATCATGGTTTTAGTGTGTACTAAAACACACAAAACCAGTTTTGTGTGGTTTTGTGTGAACCACAGGGGTGTGTGGTTTTGTGTGAACCCCTGATAACAGAATACGGGAATGGTCCAGACAAAGAACCAGCTCTTCCTCAGTCCCATTGAGATCCGAAACACCCAGATTCACACACTCAGCCCCCTGATCTACACCTCCTCTTCTGTTACCGCCGCCAGAACCCACGCAGATTGGTCGAGCTTGTCTCAAACCCGAGGAGGGGCAACGTAGAAGACACGCCGGATGCTGCCTTTATTGCGGGTCTCCCACTCACTTTACTGTAAAATTGCCCAGTTCGTCCAAAAGCTGAGGCCCGTCAGTGAATATGGGGATGCTGGCATGCATGTTCACCACTAAGCATAACCTTACTGTCCCTTCTTTGCTTAGTATCCAACAAGAGACTCACCCCTTCTCTCCGATTTCAACTGTTGAACCAGAATCTCCAGATATTTTGTATTCCTACAAAATATCATGATCTAACCTGAGAAACAGAAACCCATTCACCCTGACACAGACGAACTGTGAATACTGCAACAGATACTGTTTTACCTGACATCATAATAGCCTCCTACTTCTTTACTGTGTGCAGGAAAAACACCTAAGGCAAAATCTCTTTTAAATATTTGTGTGCTGACATCAGCTGTCACTGATCACAGCATCTCCATCTTGTTTCTGTGCCCACGCCCAGTCTACCTGAAATCTACCACAAGCTGGTGACAGTGAGTTCCACTGAAAGATGAGGCTGAAATCTTTTTTTTTTTTTTTTACCCAACCAATCACCACAGAAACCATCTGTTTTGTCGCGCGTTGTGCAGCAAGTTCAAAGCTTTACTGAATGAAACCTATGCTGGAATCTTCCACTGCCTCAGTTAGGAGTCAACACACATTTTGCATTAATTTTGACAACTTTGTGGGCTGCCTGATTTGCTTGGAGACACTTTTCAGTAAGTTTTGTTCCGCTTTTGTGGATTTTTTTTTCACTTGCTGCCTGGAAGCTAACATAAAAGTTATGATCCCTACAGACACTTTTGAGGGGCTGGACAAAGATGGCGGATAAACTTCATGGAGGTTAGAGTCATAAAAAGGCTCCTGGAAGGAAAAGCTGAAAGACTAACTTGCTAATGCTTTTACCTACAGTGGCTGAATGTGACGATGTTGCAACAGAGCTGCAAGCAAACAGAAGAATCAAGATGTTTTGTAGATCTGCATTAACAAAATTGCTTAGAGTCATCAACTCTGAACCTTTGTTTGTTTTTTGCTATCTGCAGACAGAGGTTTGCTTATAAGTTAATCACTAGGGATTAGTTTTGAGGGAACAATTATTGCCAATGCTTGCCAACACATTAAAAAAGGACAATCAGCAAACATCAGGTAATTCTTTGGAAGAAGAGGGATCTGCTTGGGCTGAAAAATACAGCACCTTTCATTTTGTTCTTATTTAGATTGGAAAACCTCCACAAAAGAGCATTAAATTGGGTAAAACTACTTTCTCCAATATCTCTGAAAGAATGGAAGTTTTAAGATCGGTACATAATGTGAAAAAAACTGATTTTTTTTTTATTTTTTTATTTTTATCAAACAGTTCACAGTTGCATGTACCATTGGGGACCACACAGGAAGTAATGCTGCTTTTAATAACAACAGGGACGGACGCTCAAATAGCAGGAAAATCTTCTTTGAAGAGCCATGCAGGTTTGATATCAGCAGGGTTTCATTTAACCATTTAACCATGCCTTTAAGAATTGTAAATATAACAGGCTGAGAGCTGAGCAGGGGGGAAAACTGTCACCTGTCACCTTTCTTAAGATTTATTAAAATAGCTGTTGAATCAAAATGGTAGTTTTTGTATTTTGAATTATTTTCCCATGTATTGAGGTAGGATTATCTAAGTCAGTGAGCTGACCAAAAAGGAGCTGCCATAACTGATTTGCAGAGTACACCTCATAAGATAATGGAGTTAACGGAAACCCCAAAGCCTCCTCTGCTAATGAAGCAGCAGAATGACTGGAGTCAGATGATTCCTCAGAACCGTTTCATCACAGACTGCTACAGGAGATCCCTCATACCCACAGCATTAACCACATTTAAATTACTCATTGAAGAAACTGATGTAATGAGAACTAAGGTAACAGCTTATTTCTCCACTAGGATAAAGAAGGTGTCATTGAGTTGAACTGAATTGAATTAAATGTACGTTTCATTACAGCAGCTTCGCCAAGTCTTAAATGTGTGGTAGTCCTGTTTTATTTTGAGGTTTGGAGTGGGTGAGAAACATCCTTGCACCAGTGAATAAGACTCTTTTCTTCAAGAATAAAACACAAAAAATGGATGAGTTGAATTTCTCTTGCACATAAGTTTTACACCACCAGTGCTAGTCATTCGCATCGCAATGCTGTTTAGAAAATTGTCTACCAAAAACAAAACAGATTTTAGAACCATCTCTCTTAAATCGCTACAAGTTTGTGAGATTTGAACTAGGTTGTTCCTCTTTAACCAAACAAAATTAGAATTTACAGATTCAAACTCTAGAGTTTATATTTGAATCAGTTTTTTCTTTTGTATTTATTGGCCCTTACTTATTAAGGCGCCTGGCTTAATTCTCACAGATATCAACCAAAAACAGAGTTCAGTACTGCGATACGCCAGCAGATGTCCAAGCTCTCACAGATTTGTGAAGCCGTTGCTCTTATGTCACTGCCTGTGCTGGGGCCAAGCTCCCAGAGTGCTTGCAGCAGCATGTAGGCTTCAGCCCACAGAGAGCTATGCAGCAGTCATTTCCTGCTACGCAGTCATTTCCTGCGTAGAAGCACCAAAAGAAGCACCCTTTTGGTGCTTCTAATGTTGCTGCCGTCTGCAATTTAAGTCCAGACTGACCACATTTACACAAAATCTTTTCTGTTATCATTCCATTCCTAAACAAATGATGCACTGGTCGACATATATAAATTGTGTTTTGCTACTTTCATACTTTAATGATGACATTGTTGGCAGGTAAGCTCGGACCTAGTGCTTGCAGTAGAACCATTGCTTTTTGTCCGGATGTGGGGCGGGACTGCAACTCTGAAAACCATAAATCCACCCTTAAGGGAAGTAACGCCGCTGTGATGATGAGGCAGAGGATCTGTATTTAGTTTCTGCTCAGAAAGAGGCGGGAGCTCCACCAAAGCTGTTGGTCTGAATAAAAAGAAATGAGCTCTGTCTGCCCTGCAAAGATAAGGAGCATTTTTCTTCCAGCGCTCCTTCTAATTAAGGCTGTTGTTGGTCAAGGAAATTACAACTGAAGCATGCTAGTTATAACTTGTACCTCTTTTTATAGTCTTTTTCAGAAAGACCTTGGAATAAAACAAAGAAGTGTAAAAACAAAACTGATTTTCATTGTGCACTAATGACGATGTTGCTCCATTAGTAGACTGCTAAGACTGCTTACATTTTTCCCCTCTTCTCAAATTCGTCCTGTGAAGTTTACCTCTCCTCCTCAGGTGATCAAAGCACAACAGAAGAGGAATGTTTTGTTCTCAGTATTGATTTTAAACTTGAAAAAACCTGTGAGCTGTTTTTTCAAGTGGTGGAAATTTCCGTGGTGGAAATCATTTCAGTTGCTGCTGGCCGGCCACCAGTCCTCTCCTGTCTAGAGGGTGTAATTCAGGGGGATGAATTAATTTTGATTCATTATGACATTTTTAATGTTATGATGCTTAGTCATCTCCCATCAAAGGACTGAATCACCTCCTAATGCATGCAAGTCCTCCAGAGTCCAACTCATGACCTGATTTTATGATTTAGGCGTGTTGACAGAGACAAATATAAAAGTTGCAGGACAATATTTTGTGTTATTATTGTGAAAACATTAAAAGTAACGATAAAGTAACTCTATAGCCATGATTTTATGGTACAGAAATCATAGTGCCACAGAGAACTCATTTCTTTGGGTTTTTTTTAACAAATGGGAAAAAATATTCCCATTTATAATATGTTTCTTTAAAACACCGGTCACATAAGGAAGTGTAATTTGTATCACTAAACTGCCCATGATAACTCCATTTAATCACATATCAAAAAGTATTGATGCTCTCATTAAACATACAGTGGAAAAAATTGTAAAGCTAAAATTCCTGACAATACGGATAGTTTTGGAGGATTTTAAACATTATTAATTAATATTTATTGCGACAACAATAAATTAAAATTCTTATCATGATAAGAAATTCATCATGATAAATGAAAACACAACAAATGCCCAACCCATAAATGACCAAATGCATGTTTGAAATTGTTATTTGGAAACTGATTATTGTATTTTTACCCAGGCTAACCTTATCCAATGACAATATTATTGAAATTTTCACCTATTTCAGTAAATCATTTTCCAAAGTGAAACACGTCACAGATTAACTACAAACAGTTTTTATTTCTGTTAATTATAATAACTTTCTGTTTACAGCTGATAAAAAAAGACAATTTACAACAGATAAATTTAAATAGTACAGAAATGTGAATGTGTGTCTAATAAAAAAGTATATTTAACACCTGTTTAAAGGTTGTCATTCTCATAAGTTATTTTTAATCTGATAAACAAGCCTCGTCAGAACTCATATTCTACGTTATTGAATATGATGGTATTTTATGAGAAAAATAAATACATGTTTGAGGTGAGGTATTTCATGGAACATTATAGTAGTATTCATAAGCTAGAGCTGCAGAAACTGATGGTAAAACCTACATGATATCAGAATGGGACTCCATATCAGTAAGCGCCTCATTGCAGGTTACTCATATTGGCACCACTTTGTATTCCTGTGTTGTAAAAGTTTATCCTACAGCTAGGATGTGGTGGAAGAGGAGATTCCATCACATTCTTTAGGTATAAAACTCCTAAAGGTGTGGTGTAAAACACCACACCTTTAGGATGCGTTGAAAAGGGAGATTCACGTCACAGATATGCAGCATCTGTGCGATGCGATCAGGTAAATATGCACCAAAATATCTGTGTCCGACACGGGGACACAGACGCAGAAGACAGCTCTGAAGGCAAAATGGGTACCTAATAAAGTGGCCTGTAAGTGAAAATTGCTATCAATGAAAGCTGTCAGGTCCTGAAACTGAAACTACATCCAGAAACTGTGTAAATCTACGGTGACTGGCCAAATGTTCTTTAAATTGGGATGGAGTCCAAGATTCCCTTTCTTCCCAAAAAAACAAATTTTTAAAAAGGTTTTTTTTTTTTTTTAGCTGCAACAGTGGAAGGGATCTCTGTTAATTGCAGTCAGTTCCATATGGAACCAGACTTCCATATGGCCAGACTGGCCATTTATGGCCTGGAACTGACCATAAATGGAACTGAACCATTCATGTTCTTGTTTATCCCACTTATCACCAGCATGTGCTGTCCCAGTTTCAACAGGTAGCTTAAATTCCCTAATCGTCATGTCTCCACTTGTCCTACCTTTTACCTTAAAAGGAGGCCTAGCTGCGTCTCAGCAGCAGATGGGTTAAAGGTGGACAGGTTTGCTTTCCATATAAGGCTATGAGTTGCTAACCTTCAACACCTGGAGTTTTACTTGGAAAACCTAAGTCAGTTTATGGATTTGCACCACTGAATCAAATTATAACGGGGGAACTTAAACGTGTGGGACTTTGTAATGCAATCCGAGCAATGGCAAAAACTGTGATTCAGGCTTTGCATGAGATATAATTAAAAGCCGAAGTTGCAGCTGTAAGTGTATCACACCTGCGCCGAAGTGGGTGGGTCTGTTGGAGGTGTGCTCACTTAGTGCAGCTCCTCCTCTGTGAGTCAACCTGCTGCTCTTCCTTCTTATAACCCGCTCAGCAGTCTGACTGCAGCTGCCATTTTTTCCTCTGCTGCCTCTTTCCTTCACACATCACAAGCACAATGGTGAGTGAGTGAGCGAGCACACTTTCTGTGAGATTGTGGTGGATTTTAGATGAAATGTGATCTTGAATAAGAGTTCAGTTTTATTTGTTTGGCTCATAGGAAATGCAAGCATTATGTCTTATTTTTTTGTTGTTTTAGTCACTTCCTTATTTTAGAACATGTGGAACATTTGAGTTTGTATATATGTAGTTTTTAAGTGATTTTAAAATTAAAGAGGGTTTATAATCTGGAGCTTATCGGGTGTGAACTATTTAAGGGGGTGAAAATGAACCAGGTGGCGAAAAGGGTTTGTGCAAGGTGTGGTTTGCCTCCAAAATGGAGGGAGCTCCGTACGTGTTTGAAACTTGTTGAGGGTCGCTGAGGGCAGAGTTTCTTGTGCTAACTTGTTCCAGACTGACTGGAATGCAGTTGAACCAAGGCCCAAGACTGGCTGGGAAGCAACACTTTAATTCAAAGAAGACAGAAGTTCATAAAGCTTTTGTGAGCTTCATTGCCTCAACTGGACTGACATTTTTGCACTCAGTTTTGAAGTTGTGAAGAGCTTCCTGTTTCTTCATCTCTCTGTTCTGCTTTTCTTCTCAGAACCAGAGTACAAGTAAAGAGTAGCTGCTGAAGCTCCAATCCAGGCCCAAATTTGACAAAAGGGTCTGGATTGTGGCAGTTTCTAA